TTGCCTCTTTGTGGTTTATCCAGCGTTGGGGCCTGACGTTTCTCAATAAAAATAGAGGAAGGAGGCGGGGGAAGGCTCTTAATACGACGCACGGTAACTCTATCCGCCTAGAATTACGATTAGGCAACGCATCATTACATGAGAATATGATATCAATACATCTAGGAGACCCTTAAAGCATTAGTGTTCGTGCTTCTCCGTTTGATCTGTACACTAACACGGTCGTATTGTTGCGTATTTTTTCTCACAGTGAAGATGCAAGGAATCAGCGTTTGCAGTAAAGATCCTGAGATGACAAATTGTCAGTATCCCGCGAAATGCGTTAATGGCAGTGATGATTATTCTTGTCTCTGCAGTAATGGATTCTTTGGTGTCTCTCCCAACTGTGAAGGTGAGTATATGATCATTCGATCGATTTCGAACTCAAAATATGCTGACCTTTATCTAGCCCTAAGTTGTCAGATAGAATTGCTAAGGAAAAATGATGACGACCTTTCTTTACAATCGAATCAAGGACGAAGAACCTTGAAGTCTTTCCCGAACAATCGCAGCTTAAATGCGACCTGTATGTGTCCTGGTGTTAGGTTGAGGTCAATCACTTTCAAGGTGCTAACTGGCCTAACAATGAGAATGAAAATCATACGCTGTCGACCGCGTAAATCACTTCGTGGATATTCCTTTCCCGACTGGGTGCATGCGACTTTATATACTGGTCAGTGAGTTTAGAAAAGTTAACAGGAATCGAAGGAAGAAGTGAATGTCCGATCCTTATCTATATTTCAGATTTATGACAACGTCATTATCTGAATAAAAAGGCTCTAGACTGGCAATTTCTGACAACACAACATGATTTTTAGTGAAAAAAATGAGAAACTGTCTTTGTACACTCTGGCCCATATAGAACCGAAAAAAATATGACAGATTCTTACATAAACTTAGGCGAAATGGACTGCAATTGGTTGATTCTCTCTTGGAAGTGATTGTTATTTTTGGAGTGACACTGATACCCAAAACTGTACCTTTTACTCAGATATAGATGAATGCACCGATGGCACGCATGACTGCCACTTCTCCGCCTATTGCGTCAACATCCTTGGCTCCTATAACTGTTCATGCAAACAGTCCGGATATAGTTATAATGGCAGCATATGCGTGGGTATGTTCTATTTATCTTTGTTCTTTTACGATTACAAGATTGCTAAAACCTAGCGCTAAGAAGTCACGACGTTTCGACCTCTCTGAGGTCATTTTCAAATGAGTAAATTTTCCAAATCAACATAAATATGTTGAAGCAAGTTGAAGACGATAAAATGTGGCGAACGCTATAATATGTGAAAATGTGTAAACAATATACAATGGAAGAGAATAAAAGAATAAAAGAATAATTCAAAAACATAATCATAGCACGAATTGTTCTAAACAAATAGTTTGCCGCGAATTAAATCGTACTGTTTCCTTGATAAAGAAAAACACTTCAAAAACAAGACAGTCAAATTTGTTCTGACACTTCCTTAAGATTCAAAAACTCTGTGTGATGTCTTCTGGCTCCATGACGTGCTCCTGTCTGAGGTGGTGTCCGAA